TTATACTGGTTTTTTTGTTTTGTTTTGTTTTTTTCAAAATTTTCCCATTCGGTTGTCGCATTTTTTTCTCACACCCTGCTGGGCAGTTAGATGGGTTGTCATTACTGACCTGATGCAGTGAGAATATGGCGTGAGTTACACAAGCCATTAATGTCAGGGTTGATGTTGGTGGTCATCGACCTCCAGGATCAACCTTCTTTCCTTAAACGTCCCTCAGTAAAGACCCTAACACCGACTTTATTAAGTTGATGGTAACACATGCAAGGTAGTCCTGACGCTTGTGTTTCCTAGCCATATAAAGCTAAAATAAAGAAAGGATGGGGTACAAATGCCTTAAATATCCCAACTTCTTAAGTCTCCTGTTAAAAAACAAATTTTTCCCTCCTAGCATTTCCACCAGAATACCTTCCACTTGCCAGAATATCTGGTTTATATATGTTCCATTTAACATGTTTTTAAAAAATCTGATGTAAAGTTTTCCTAGTTGGAGGAAATAATCACTTTCCATTAAGTTAAACAGCCTCAATCCATTTTAAATTAAAATATCTGACCGAGAAATAGAAAAACCCAGCTCTGTGGTCTTGTGGGTCACTTAGCTACAGATGGAACCTGAAAAATCCGGTTCTGGTTGCTGCTGCTGAGGCAGAGAGTCCATTATTTCTGTTCTGATGGGACTGGCTGGAGATATTCAGGAACGTGAAAAACTCTGACATGTGTCATTCCGAGTCCTTAAGGAGTTGAACGTATTAAGATGACAAAAAGAATTTGTCATGAAACTATAATGACTCTTTCTAGACAACCAGGTATTTGTAGGTTTATTGGCAAGATAGCTGAAATTACAAATGTATTTTTAGCCTGAAGCATTTCATAATAAAAGAGTTGCAGACTTCTTTGCAATCAAGGAGAAAAAAAAATAGGGATTTATTAAAGCTGACATGGACTTCTGTGATTTTGCACTCCTTACTACACACAAAGAGGGGGATCGTGGGGACCTGAGTCCTTGAAATTTGCAAGGAGAGTATTTCCGTTTCCCGGTTCCATTTAGAATTCACTGGCCTCCCTTCCACTGCAGACCTGCTGTTTAGTCTGCATCTGAAAATTAAACCCAGAGCTTCGGCTCTCACATTAAGTACTAAACTTTCCTCCAGCACACACCCTCACTTGTGTCTGTGTGCTAAGATCTACGATTAGACTCTTAAGACGTTTTAAAATTCCATCAGGCATTAGAGGATAAGGTTGGATATTGGGCCGTCTTCTTCCTCCTTTTGAGTCCCTGAGCAGAAGTACACCCAAAGGTAAATGCCACATGCAGGAGGGAGGTAAGTGCGAACTGTATTTCTAGGTTTTAGTGGGGTGTTTGTTCAAGCTTAACCAAAGCAATGAAAGAGTTACATTTATTAAATTCCTTTTTTTCACAAATGAAAGAAAAACTAAGGCAAAATGAGTGCAATTTTCCAGGAGTCGTTATAAAAATATAGCTCTCCAGCTCTGCCCACTTTCCTTTCCTTCTCATCAGTTTTCTGCCCAAAACACTCGCATGTTTCGCCCCGATGTGCTGCAGCCTCAGTTGTCTTTGTAAAGTAGCCGCGTGAATGGCTGGGAGCTGTTCAGTGTTTAGAGGCCTCGGTGGCCGGGCTCATAAAAATGTCACTGTGCACTTGCACTTGGAAAAGTCCTTTTATCCTGCATTCCTGAAGCACCATTCCAACAGTTAGCCTCCTTTACCAGACTGTTGCTGTTTGCCTTCCCACCTTGCGGACTAGCTTCTAATGAGATGTGTGTAACTCTTGGCTATCGAGTTTCCATCTCCTTATTGCCTCAGAGCTGATCTTGGGGGGCTGCACAAGCTCAAAGGTCCTTTGGCCCTATGCTGCAAACGTGAAGTAATTTAGGTAGAGACCTCAAGGTGCAAGCTATTGTCTAGAATGAGTGGCAGTGTCTTCTAAGTCACTGAAGAGGATTGAATCTCAGGGGTCCCAACCACCTACTCTACTATGGAAATAAGATTCCTTGGGGACGCCAGAGCCCGCTGCTGATGCCCTTACATCACCAGTTTCCGTCCACACTTCGCACCACAGAAGGGCCCCGTGTGAGGTCTGGTCAGCCGTGACCCTTCAGGCAGCCGAGGGCGGGTTTTCCAAGTTCATCTTTTTTCCTCACCGGGAAGATTTTTCTTCTCTTAATTATACCCATAATTGGTCACAGCAACCACACATATAGCAAAAGTTAAGTCACTGAAAAGGTGAGAACAGAGGTTTGCAGAGGTGAGAAGTGCCACACACCCCATTGTCATCCGCCTGGCAGCCATGCTGTCCCTTGGAGGGTGGCCAGTCGGGGCCATGCCAGGATGAGGGAATGCTCCACTAACTAGACATTTGAGAAAACCATCGTTTGGAGCATGTGAGAGCCCACATTATTTCCCAAAGTTAACAGAGTGAGGCGCCCACCCTCTGACATCCTACTTACATACCCGGTACTAACTGACAGCTCCTAGTAGAAGAATTTCAAGGTCAGCGGAAAGATACATTAGTCAAACAACTATCCCTGTTGTGTTAAGAGCTGTTTTAAGTAAAGGGAACAATATGAGGGACCATCATTTTCAGCCGAGTTGTGTCTAAGGCATTTAAATAAACCACTTACATATCAGGAGCTTCAAGAGCTCAAATCAAGCAAAGTTTCTGGGAATGTTTTGAAAAGCCGATCGCATTCCATCTACTACAAGGTCTTTGTAAGTTCATGGCCTGAAAATTCTATTTCCTTCCGGATTTGGAAGTAGTTTGGTTTCCAGATAGTATAGAAAAAGCAGGCAGTTGGAAATTGGAATAATTACAGCTAAATCCAGAAGGTTTTCCAGCTTGACCGAGTTCTATTAATGTGTTAACCATAAGAAGAAGGAATACAATATACCTGCCAGCCTTCATGCTGTAGACTGTTTCAGAGCAGTACCCTAAGTTCACACCTTGTGTCATAATGAGAACTGAGTCATGGGGGGACGGATGAAGAGGGGATCTGCCGAACGGCTTAGTGACTTTCTGGATTTTAAATATTGAGTGAAAAGACAAGGTCATAGGGCAGCTGAACCTTGGCTTGCCTCTCTTTCGTCTGTCTGTGGCTTTGATCATGCTACATCCTCCTCTGTGGCCGGGACTCCAGAGAGAATCTCAGGGTCATGGCCTGTTGCCTGTCAAGAGGTATAAACCTGCTGCTTAAATATGTGGAGCCCTCCGTGTGGGGGCTGGGAGCGCAGGGGAGGTAGCTTCATACGTTCCACATTTCCCACATAACCCGAAGCAGACTAAACAAGACCGGTGTGAAATCTCATGACTTGATGCTGCTGTGGTTCTATTTTTTAACTGTAATCCATTCATTTGCATGTGTGTTTATCCCCAGGATTCACAGCTTTCTTAGTCTTTGGGGAAAGAGAACGTTTGAAACCTTTTGCAAGGGGTTTGCAGTAAGCAGTGGTCTGTGATTAAAGCCCGGGGCAGAGTGTGTAAGGGAGAGTGAGTGTGTGCCTGCGTGCGCGCATGCATTCTTGTGAGTGTGTGAGTGCCCACTTCTGTGGGGGTTTTTCCTCCCGTTTGCTGCTCTCACGCAAAAGCGTCACACATGGTAGCATTTAGGAGCTCCTTCACAGCTGAAGTGTTTCAAACACTAATGAATGGAAGTTTGGTCATATAATGCAGACAAGCTTTAAGGCATGCTTTACTGAATGGTGTACTGTAGTGACCTGGGAAAGGAAGAGAGGTATAAATTGTGTCCGTTAGCCACCCAGACAAAATGAAGCCATGTGGAAAATCAAATCTATTAAAGTATGAAGACTGTTATAAGCTGTTTTAAGCTGGCCATTCTTAAACAGGCTCAGTTTGCAGCAGGGGTAAATGTTTACCTCTTCTCCCAGATCTTTTTCACATGCCGTCTTATGAGACAATGTGCAGCATTTGATAAAAATCATCCTCTCACTAACGACACTTTTATCAGAAATGTTTATTGTCTCCGCTTTACCACCCATGTCCTGAAAGGTACTGCACATTTGTTAAATAAGCAAAGGGAAAGAGAACCGTGCAGCTCAAGCCAGCTTGCAGAAACTCCAACAAATTCCAGAGCCATAAGGAATCAGGAAAAAAAAAAAAAAAGAAAGAAAGAAAGAAAGAAAAAGAGAAGGAAGAATTAGATTTATATGAAGAGGAGGCCCTGCAAAAACATATATATTAGATTTGCTCTGCTTGGCCAGCCCACCATTAAATGTTTGGTAGATGTGGATTTAGTATTGACATCCAGCCGGTAGGCCAAACTTTGCTCATTGTCTTAAAATGTGCTTTAATAAATACAAGAACGAGGAACGCGATTTGGAAAGGAAGCTAGTAGTCAGCTCTTGCACGGAAGTGCTGGCATCTTGGTCTCACATGGGTTCTGACGCCTGTCTGGCTCGGCCCATTCCTGGCCCTACTCCCTCTGTAACTTTGGGTGCATTCCCTGCCGTGCCTTGACTTTCTTGCCTATCAAATGGGAACAGTAACAAACCATGCCTAAAAGCATCTAGCAAGTGTCATAAAAGTATCCGCCATGACTACCAGTATCTGCTGGACAGGTTCCTTTGTGTCTCAAGAAAGGATTTCCCTTTATTTTTTGCTTACTTGTGCACTGGTTTTTAAAACCGATGGCCGGCATGCTGTCGGGAAAAATCTATCCATTTCTTTTTTACTCTAATTGGCGAGTAAGCTTAAATTAGCCTGACATTCTCTGAACTGCAAACAATTGAATTTGCTGACCAGCCGCCATGATGCCAAGCCTTAAGTCAACAGCGGCTAATGACTGCTCTGGGAAAAAACAACACCTTGATTCCTCAATTACAGTTTAAGAAGCCCTGGGAATGAGGGCTTGCCAATCATCGGCTTCCTTTTTTCAAGGCAGCATAATGGGCTGTGGGAACAGGTCACCTCCAAACTGTCGGTAAGAACGGCCCACACGGTGTAATGGTTGTGCCCTGTGTGTTCCAGGAGGAGACTGAAGAGACATCCTCACAAGAGTCTGCAGAAGAGGACTAGGGGGCGCCGACATTCGATTTCTACCTCAGCAGCAGTTGGATCTTTTGAAGGGAGAAGACACTGCAGTGACCACTTACTCTTTATTGCCATGGTCTTTCTACTTTCATCTGGGGTGGGCAAGGGGGGGCGGGGGCGGGGCGGGGGCTGGGGTGGGGGGAGAAATCACATAACCTTAAAAAGGACTATATTAATCACCTTCTTTGTAATCCCTTCACAGTCCCAGGTTTAGTGAAAAACTGCTGTAAACACAGGGGACACAGTTTAACAATGCAACTTTTAATTACTGTTTTCTTTTTTCTTAACCTACTAATAGTTTGTTGAACTGATAAGCAAGAGCGGATGGGTGAGGAAAAAAACTCTGACTCGGGTTTAGTCAATCACTGCACTGCACACAGACGAGAAAAGTGTCACGCTCGTGACATCGGGCATTCCTGTAGGAAAGGCGCGGTGTTCAACCCTGTGTGCCCCTCAGCCACCACCCAACCTGCTCGCCCTAGTGAAGCTTCTGTTTAGAACACCAAAGATAGGACTAGATACTACTTCTCTCTTTTTCGTATAATCTTGTAGACACTTACTTGATGATTTTTTAACTTTTATTTCTAAATAAGACGAAATGCTGATGTATCCTTTCATTCAGCTAACAAACCAGAAAAGGTTATGTTCATTTTTCAAAAAGGGAAGTAAGCAAGCAAATGTTGCCAACTCCTATATTTATGGATATCACACATATCAGCAGGAGTAATAAATTTACTCGTGGCACTCGTTTTCAGGAAAACACTCATCTGGGTAGAACCTACTTCCTACAGAGCCAAATGCCATTTAGCAATAAATCACACTTGTTACCTTCAAAGCCTTTAAGGAACCTAAACAAGCAAAATTATCCTCTTGGTAATTTAACGAGAAGGTACAACAGAATAATGCATGATGAACTCACCTGAATGATGAGGTGGGAGGAGCGAAATCTAAATTTCTTTTGCTATAGTTATACTACAATTTAAAAACAAAAAAAGCAGTCTCTCTCTCTCTCTCTCTCTCCCTCTCCTCTCTTCATTATGTATCAGTTTCCGTGAAAGACCTAAATACCACTTACCTCAAATCAAGCGTATGTATTACTTCAAGTAATACGTTTTGACATAGGATGGTGGACTGAGGTGCTTGACTTTGGCTTCAGTTCACCGTCTCTTCATTCAAACTGCACTTTTAGCCAGAGATGCAATAATATATCCCCACTACTCAATACTACCTCTGAATGTTACAATTAATTTACAGTCTAGTACTTATTACATGCTGCTATACACAAGCAATGCAAGAAAAAAACGTAATGGGTAGGTGATGCTAATCATCTGCGGTTCTTTTTGTACACTTCATTACAGTTAAAGAAGCAGTCTCCTTACTGTGTTTCAGCATGGCTATGTATTTTTCTATTTTTTTTAATTAAAATTTTACAAATACTTGTTTCAGCTTCTCTGCTAGATTTCTACATTAACTTGAATATTGTTGTTGGTGGTGGTTTTTAACCAAGTCGCTCCTAGGTTCTTAAGGATAATTTTCCTCAGTCACACTACACAGCACACAAAATTTGACTGTAATGTTTAAATCTTACCCTCCAAGTTTGTACCTCAAAATGAGTTGTTTAAGGAAATGGACTAATTGACTTGCAAAGACCTACCTCCAGACTTCAAAAGGAATGAACTCGTGACTTGCAGCATTCATTTTGGTCAGCGTCTGAAAGCGTTCAGACTGCCGCTATCCCTAGTCCAGACTATTTCTGTAAGAGACATTTGATAGAAAGGAACTCATTTTTACATACTTCCTGCAAAGAACTAGATAAAATAAAAGCCAACCTTCAAAGAAACTTGAAGCTTTGTAGGTGTGATGCAACCAGCTCAGCTTTTGCATGATGCAATCAAAAAATATGTGTTTTTAAGATTCGTCGCATATGAGAAAATGCTTGACAGATATTTTCATGTATTTTACACAAATGTGATTTTTGTAATATGTCTCAACCAGATTTATTTTAAACGCTTCTTATGTAGAGTTTTTATTGCTTTCTCTCCTCGTGAGTGTGCTGACTTTTTAACATGGTATTATCAACTGGGCCAGGAGGTAGCTTCTCATGATGGCTTGTGTCGGTATGGCTTCCAGTACTGAAGCCAAATGAAACTCAAAACCATCTCTCTTCCAGCCGCTTCAGGGAGGTCATTTCAGAGGCCACATACCTCTCTGAGACTGGCAGATGGCTCACTGTTGTGAATCACCAAAGGAGCTACGGAGAGAATTAAAACTCAACCTTACTGTTAACTGTGCATTAAATAAGCAAATAAACAGTGGCTCATAAAAATAAAAGTCCCATTCCGTATCCTCGGTTGGGCCTTTTCAAAACCTCATTGGCCAGCTCATAAAACTGAAGCAAGTTGCTCATGTTGGCCAAACTCGGAGTACTGAGCGATTTCCATCTCCGATGAAGTTACTCTTTTATTTCCTATACGTTGTACAATCAAAACACACTACTACCTCTTAAGCCCCAGTATACCTCATTTTTCATACTGAAAAAAAAAAAAAGCTTGTGGCCAATGGAACAGTAAGAACATCATAAAATTTTTATATATATAGTTTATTTTTGTGGGAGATAAATTTTATAGGACTGTTCTTTGCTGTTATTGGTCTCAGCTAAGTAAGACTGGACATTTAACTTTTCTACCATTTCTGCAAGTTTAGGTATGTTTGCAGGAGAAAAGTATCAAGACGTTTAACTGCAGTTGACTTTCTCCCTGTTCCTCTGAGTGTCTTCTAACTTTATTCTTTGTTCTTCATGTAGAGTTGCTGTCTATGATTGTACTTTGAATCGCTTGCTTGTTGAAAATATTTCTTTAGTGGATTATCACTGTCTGTTCTACACAATAAACATAACAGCCTCTGTGATCCCCATGTGTTTTGATTCCTACTCTTTGTCATAACTCCATTAAATGCATAATAAAGTTTGGTCAAAACAGGTCATGGAGAGAGACATTCACAAGTCATTTTGTCGCGCCCCCCGCATATTGTGCACCCACACCTCTACGAACACTGACGTAAGGTTTTCAAATATCATACTTCTTACATCAACTGCCCTCAATTCACCTTTCACGGTCTGGCATTTAATCCTGCAAATGACCTTAGAATAAATGTAAAGGAAGAATATGCTTGTGGCTCAAAACTAGAGAATTTCTCCCGAAGGCTGACATCTACAATGTTGGTAAGGGGAAGTAGCTGATGATATACTAGTTATCTTTCAAGTAATATTTGCAGGAGAGCTGAAAGTTTGGTGAGGAGTAAAAGAAATGAAAGACGCAGAGTTCCTCGGGATAGGAGTCTCTCTTATTTTATAAGAACCATAAGCAGGGTCAGAATGATTCCACCAAGCTCCAGGTCACCTTTACATCTCAACTGCTGACAGTGCATAAATCCAGGACTCCTCCCAGGCGAAAATCTTCTGCTTTGGGCTGCCACCACCACTGTCACTAAAACTCTTCATTTAGCTTCTTCAGTAGGACTTCCCCATATGAAAACATCTCCTGTCGGGGAATTTATTGTCGAATTTATTACTTGACTCCTTCATTCATTTATTTTCACAGCCAATATTCTGTGAGTGCCTACTTTGTGCTAAGCCCCACACCAAGAGGCCCTTCAAAAGATCATCTCCTTGGAGAAAATCACGCAGGTGCAGAAATCCAGGCAGCATGTGCAAAGAACCAAACATATTGCTTAGGCAACAAATTGCAAGAATTCAGGGGAGAGGAAGCCATCTCCTGCTGGAGTGGATCATTAATTCAGCCTATTAATAGACAAACCAAATGTAGTTAATAGAAACCATATTTAGTCTCTTCATTTTTATTAATAGAGAAAAGCACATAAGAAGAAATTACTTCTGGAAAATGAAAATACGCCAACAGAGAATCTTTGCCTTGAAAAAAGAAAGAATAAGAAAGGACATGCCACGCCCAGAATAGAATAAGTAGATGAAGAGGGTAAAATTTTTACCATAGTGTAGAGTCGATACTCACTAAGTGATCTCTGAATTGGGTTCTTTTTCATTTGAGAAAAATTAAACTTTCTTTCGCGCAGTAAGTAGTACACTGATGAGAGTTATTATGTGAAGAAGCATTTTAAGCTCAAACCCAAATTTAAGGAGGGTGTCCCAAAAACTCAGCCAATGCATTCAAATCACAGTGGAGCCTCTAGTATGTGCCAGATATTGTTTGGGGTAATAAAGGTAAACTAAATTTCATCACTGCCCATCGAGAGCCGGAACTCCTCACCAGGGAGCTGGACCCAAGGGGGAGGGGAGCTATGTAAATAGAACCTTACCGAGTTACCCTGAAGGTGGTTGGAGTCATCCTGAACTCTCCACCAATATCAGAGACGAATTGCAGGCCCTCTCGCAAAAGGGGTTTTGCGTTACCAACAGAGAGGGATCCTGCGCTATAGGAACAGTGAGTCTCAGCCAGTGTGGCCTTTCATATGTGGGGGGTGGGGAGAGGGGCTGGTTTCTCACCAGGGCCAGGAGTACTCGACTCTTTGGTGAATTCTCAGAGTTGGGTAGGGTCACCCTTGAGCCATCACTCTTCAGATCTAGGAAATCTGGCCTAACGGGGAAAGAGAAGCTGAAAAGAATCAAAATCACTTGTGAAATGTGGAATGCAGACGGGTAAAGTCCAGACCGTCAAAAGGCAACAACAGAGGTCTACACCCGCAGTCTGAGTTAGCCATCTGTGAAACCGGGCAGTCTGGGTTCTGCCTGAAGTATGGGAAATGGCAGTGGATAGGCCTCTCTGCCTGGCTCGCTGCTCCTCTAGCCTCATCCTCCTCAGTCAGGACTCCACTCATGCTCAGCCAGCCACGCCTCTGGCCTACTCTCAGACCAAGGCCCAGGTACAGGTCAGTGAGTAATGCCCCACTGTGTATCCAGTTCACAATAATTGGGTTCTCACCTTCTGCCCCTGAGCCGGATTCACAACCTTGATAACTCGCTGCCACCCCCCCCCCATTTGTCCAGTGTTCCCACCTAGCCTTCCTGGAGCCCTAATCCCTTCCCTGTACTTCTGTCAACACTGGGGCTGACCCCCTGTGACCTGCTAGTCCCATGTCGTCTTCTCCTCTCATCTGATCACCTATTTTCTCACTTTTGGATTTCACCTGTTTTGTGGCTGCCCTAATCCTAACTGAAGCATACATTCTCAGAAATGTGGGATAATGACATTTGAACATGCGTCTTTGCCAGAACCCAGATGGTGGGGTGCCTGCTATGGAAGAAACTCGCTGGGGCGGGGTGCGGGGGCAGAGGAATGGTAGCCGCAGATCGAGCCCTGTCCTCTGCTGCCCTAGAGAGACGAGAGGAAAGAGGAACCCTATAAAAGATCAGCCACAGCTTTCCCCGGAATACAATTATTTCTTTTATCCTGCTTCTGGCTGCAGGGTGGGCTTAAGGCTAACATTTTTTTCCTCTGGTTTCTATCATTATTTGATCTTTGGCACACAAGGGATATCTAGACATTGTGGGCAAAAAGGCATCGGGGTTTTCAAACCCCATTTTGGCTGTACGTTCCATGCACGGAAATCATTAATATACATACAGACTCACTGTATTTGATCTCAGTGGATTTGCTCACTAAAGAATCACCCCTGAAAAATCAGCAAAATGCAAATTGCCTCCATTACAGCGTGCATCTTAGGGATCCCTGATGCCCCACAGCTTCGTTTGCTTAAGGGGATGCTCACTTTCTGTCATTTCAGTCCAGCCATCAGCCCTGGTCACTCCAGGCTCTTGTCTTTGGCTTTGGTTGAAAATATCATGGTGTTGGGGTACTGATCTTGGTGGTCCCCCTCTTCGTGATGCATAGCACCCAGCTCCTATTATTCCTTCGGATTCGAGCCACGAGCTGTAACCCCCCACCTAAAAGACCTAAACTCAATGTACTTGGGCAGCCAGGCTTTGCACCTGCTCTTCCGGCCAGCATTCTTTAGGCTGCCTCATTGTCTTCTTCTGCCCTGTCCTCTTCCCCCGGATTCTGCAGCCCCTTAGATTTCTCTCAGCTAAATCTAAAGGTACTGGCCTCCTTGGACCAGGAATAACTGCCTATTTCCTGGAATACTGGAAGAGAAAAGGAGAGTGAACAAGGAGACAGATTGCTCCTGTTTTTTTATTTTTTCTGATGACTAATCAGAACTGGGATGGGTTGAGGGGGCTCAGGCCCACGTCCACCTGCACTGCCACAGCCTGGTGGTTCCTGCGTCAGAGATGAGTGGCTGGATTAGCCAAGTCTCCTTCAACTGCAAGGAATATGAACCCAGTTCAAGATGGCTTAAACCAAAAAGAAAATATTAGTTGACATAGCCGAGAAGTCTGAGCTACCGGATCGTTAGCATGATTTGATCCAGGGACCCAAAGGATGTGGCCAGGAGGCTGATTTTGTGGAGTCCTCAGTTGGGCTTTTCTCTTTCTTTGGTGCCTTGTCAGCTGGGTTCTCCTCTAGGCCTGGCAGGGTAGCTTCTGGGAGTCACAGATCCACATCCTGTTGGCCTAGCAACCTCTACAGAAGGACAGTTGTGTTTTGTTTTCCAGGATTTCCAGCAAAATCTTGGGGTTGAATATTTTGGGGGTGACCTGGATCACAGGCTGGTCATTGTACCCATCATTCTGGCCAGGGGAAAGAAAACACATATTGGCCAGATGTGGGTCACATATCTGTCCCCCGAGCCAGTCCAGGAAGGGTTGGCAGGGCGAGGTGGGCCCACCCTGTGTGAAACATGAAATGGGCGATGCCCCAAAAGAAAAATCCACGTGCACTTCCAAAAGGGAAAAGGGGAAGGAGGAAAAGATCAGCTCTCTGCTCCAGTGATGCACGCAGCAAGGCTCCCTGAAGGAGCAGAGATGGAGGTGAGATCAGTGTGAACACGGCCCCACAGAGTTTCAGGCTTTATCATCAACATGAAGAGAAGACCAGGACCCCCACAGTTGCCCACCCGGCAATGGACGTCACAGAGGCAAGAAAGCAACCTTGTTTTAAGGAGCCAAGATGTTGCTGCTTTTTACCAGGGCACAACTAAGCCCATCTTGATGGAAACAAAGAATGACAAAGCTTTTTGCATCCTCATTTTTCACTTAACAAAGCACTTCTACAAATTTCATTTCTTTTCATCTTCATCACCATGAATGACATAGCAGGTAGTAGTAGTAGTAGTAGTAGTAGATTTCCTTGACAGGGGCAGCTAACTGAGGCTCAGAGAGCCTAAATGACCAGCCTGGGAAGACAGAACTAGCAAATGGCAGAGCCATTATGTAACCTGAGGCCCCCTGACTAGTCCCACACTCTCTCCTCCTCTGGACTAATGCATATCCCAAGAATATCCTTTGCAATCGCCGCTCGGTATAAACCTTCTCTTGGGTGCACATCCCAAACATATTTAATTCTAGCTCCCCAGACTCCAGTGGGATTTAGCAAAGTCGGCTTTCCAGGGGATCACTGTAATTACAGCACGCTCGGTCTCCGAGTCTTCACCCCCATCCACCAGAGTTCTTTCGTCCCACTGCGGAGCATCTATCTGAACCCGACTGCTTGTCCCATTCATCAATCCAAGAATATGCTTCAGGAGAATGTGAGCTCCAACAGACTTAAGGGATTACCTAAACTGCAGCAAGCAAGCTGGCTGTAGAACCCAGAACATTCTTCGGGGCCACCAGAGTTTAAAGTCCCATTCCTTTATCTTTAGTTTAGTCACCAAATCTGTAGGCTCAGCCAAGTTCCCTGTGGTCTTGTACTCTTAAACTAGGCACACGACAGGCTGATATATGGCCATTATTTATTACAATGGGATACATTTAGCCATAAAACAATTATGTTCAGCCTAATCCCCAGCTGATTTAATACTGTCATGGAAAATAAGAGCCACAATTCAACCAGCTAATGAAAATGTGAAACTTTCACAAATCCGCAGTTATATTGTACTGCCTGTCCAAT